TTTTTTTTTTTTTTGTTTTATTTTTGTGTTCTGGGAAAGCAAGCACCGGTAAGAAGAAAAAAAAAGAAAAAAAAAAAAACAGAAAAGAAAAATAATATTAGAAAGGGAAATCATCAATTCCGAAGGGCACACACCAGGTTAGTTCGAAAATATCCGTCATAAGGGCTCAAGGGCTCACCGCGGAGTGCTTTCGAGTAATGCCATTAATTTAGAAATGGCAGCCGATGCAGACCCGCCGCTTTCATTATCATTATCAATACTGCATAGTATCGCGTGACAAGTGCGTGCCCGCAAAACCGGAACGCCCTACACCTAGCCCTACAAGTTCTGACCAATACTACTACTACTACTACTACTACTACTATTGTACTATTACTATTACTAATACTCTTTTAGATTCCCGCGTCAGGTCTTTGACCAATTTGTCCTTTAAATTATGCAACGATTCAGGTACAAAAGTATCGAATAAGAAGAACAATCCTAAAGGTAAAGCACAGAAAAAGAAAAAAAAAACAAAAAAAGAAAAAAAAAATTGTAAAACAGAAAATACAAACAGATACCTAAACCTAATTTTCTCTGTTTGTCTGTTTGTCTGTTTGTCTGTGTGTGTGTGTGTGTTTTTTTTTGTGTATGAGTCTCTGTTTGTTTTTTGTTAATAAATTATTGGACCTTCGAAGAAATGTATGCAATTTATTTCTTTCTTTTTTTTTTTTTCGTGTATTGGTTTATTCTTTTTTTTTTTTTTTCTTTTTTTTAGGGGGGTTGGTTTCTTTTAAATTCATGCATGGGGAAGAAGTTTCTTTTTTTTTTTTTTTTTGGTTCGATGTTGGTAATAATACGTTTGATTAATTAATGATACGATGTTGAAATGTAATTCATATTTCTTTTTCTTTTTTTTTTTCTTTTGAAATGATTTGAGAAGTGTGAACTAATTTGTTCCTTTTTTTTCTTTTTTCATCATCGTGTATATTTTATATTTGACATGACGATCGATGAAGAAATTTGGAAAATAATAATAATAATAATAATTTAAAAAAAAAGGATATTATTAGGAAGAGCATTAGAAATCTAATATTAAATAATTGATACCGTGTAAATATTAATTTAACCTACAACTATAAACGTATAATTTACTGCTCGTTTCTCGTTAAACGGAACACTTAAAAATAATTGGAAAATGGTAAGTGGAAAAACAGAAAACAATGAAATGAATAAAAGTTAAACTAATTGTTTGAAAACATATTCTCTTTAAATATTACTAAATATTTAATTAAATAACAAACAAACAAAAAACACTCATTAACAAATCCTTAAAGACGACAAATGACTGAATGAAAAGTTTTTTAATTAAGAAACAGAAAACGATGAAATTAATAAAAGTTAAACTAATTGTTTGAAAACATATTATTCTCTTTAAATATTACTAAATATTTAATTAAATAACAAACAAACAAAAAACACTCATTAACAAATAATCCTTAAAGACAAATGAATAAGTGAAAAGTTTTTTTATTAAGAAATAGAAAACGATGAAATGAATAAAAGTTGAACTTAAAATTGTTTGAAAACATATTCTCTTTAAATATTACTAAATATTTAATTAAATAACAAAACAATAAAAAACACACTAATTAACAAATCCTTAAAGACGACAAATAAATAATTGTGTGAAAAGTTTATTTAATTAAGAAACAGAAAACGATGAAATGAATAAAAGTTAAACTTAAAATTGTTTGAAAACATATTCTCTTTAAATATTACTAAATATTTAATTAAATAACAAAACAAAAACACACTAATAAACAAATCCTTAAAAACGACAAATAAATAATAAATGAAAAGTTTTTTAATTAAGAAAACATTTCAACTTACATTTCTTAATACAAATTGGAGGTGTCATTACCAGTGAAAAGGAAATAAAGGTAGAAGGTAAATAAATGAAAAAAAAAAAAAAATGAAAAAAAAGAAAGGAAGAAAGTAAAGAAGGAAAGGCAAGGCAAGGAAAGGAAAGCAAAGGAAAGGAAGGAAGGAAGAAAGGAAGAAAAGTCCTGAAGGATGCTGGAATCGACTAGGACTTGTCCATGAGGCTAAACTAATTTGCAGCGCGGGCGGGGGTGGTCGGCAAGGTTGGATTCTGAACTAATGTAAGAAAGAAAGAGATAGAGAGAGAGGGTGAAATGAAAAAAAAAAGGAAAAAAAAGAAAGAAAGAGAGAGAGAGAGAGAGAGAGAGAGACATAGATAGAAGAAGGGGAGTATATGGGGTTTGATATGGGGTGGGATGAGGTGGAGGTACAGGAGGAGTAAAAGAAAAAGAAGGGAGAAGAAGGGTGTCATTCGATTTTGTATAGTGGGGATACGAAATTCCAAGTGACCAGAGTAAAAGTACCACCCCCTATGTGTATTCTATCCTATCAACCCTCCCACCCTTCTCTCCCACTTTCACTACTACCACCACCACCACCACCACCACCCACTTTTTTCTTTTCTTTCTTTCCTTCCTTCGTTCGTTCGTTCGTTCGTTCGTTCTGTGTTTTCTTTCTTTTTCTCTCTTTTTATCACTCTCCCTCTCAATTTCTCTATAAACCAACACACATTTAGGAACGTGTAGATACATTTTCTTTGTATGTGTGTGTGTGTGTGTGTATACGTGTTGTTTTATATTTTTTCTTTTCTTTTTTCTTTTATTTTCTTTTCTTTTCTTTTCTTTTCTTATTATCGGCAAAACTTTCCTTTTCTTTTCCCTTTCTCTTTCTAAAAAAACATAAAAAAATACTTTTCTTTCCCCTACTACTACTACTACTACTACTACTACTACTATTCCACGTTTCTAAAACTCTCCCTCTCGACGACTACGACACAACTACGATCACTTTTTCTTTCTCTTTTATCCTTTTCTTCTTCTTCTTCTTCTTCTTCTTCTTCTTCTTCTTCTTCTTCTTCTTCTTTTTTTCTCTACATTTTCCACTAACTTTTTCTTTTTCTTTTTTTGTTTTTTCATCGAAAGTCCAAGATAGAAAAAGAAAAACTGTGAACTGGGGTAAAAGACTACACCCTCTCTCACCCCCCCACCCCCACCCCCGTAAGACTCGTAGCTAAAAAAAGACAACTATAGTAGTTTAGAAAACGCGTATGTATGCGTACGTGTATTCTTGCTGCTATATACGTATGTATGTGTGTGTGTGTGTGTATGTGTACTAAGTCTCTCTTTTTAACACACGCGTGCAGGTGCGGTGAGGGTTAAAAAGAGGAGGAGGAGGAGGAAGTACCTCGACCAAGGACGAACTTTTTTCCTCAGGATTGTACCAAGTCATTCTAAAACCCCTACACTTTTCCAACCCTCCAACTGAAATGCGATCAAATCAAAAATTCGTACGTTCAAACAAACAAACAAAATAAAAATCCTCCTAACGAGTAAAAAAAAAAACAAAAATTATTTCATTTTTAAAAATATAATTTGAAAAAATAATGAGATACAACAAATAGTAAAAAAAAAAAAAATAAAAAAAAATAAATCAGAAAAATAATACGAAATGATGAAAATGTTAAAGTAACCCCGTAAAAGTAACGAAAGAAATCCATCCCTGAGCTTGAAAGACTATGAGT